TTACCTGAGCCGCTGCTGTCCAGTCTCACATGTCAATTCCCAGAAACACTCGGGGGGGCTAAGAAGATCAGGGGTGCGGGCGTCCCTCTGCCCACACTTGCCACCCCTCGAGCCTCGATCAGACAGCTGGACCTCCCACACCCTCCCAGCCCAGAGCCTCCCAAGTGGGGAGCTTTGCCAGGGAGCACCCACATGACCCCACAGGGTTCCCCCTTCTCCCTCCTGCCTCTGCCCAGGCCCACTCGCAAGGTCCCTTGGCCTCAGTGTGATGTGGCCTGGGGACCAACAGCCCAGTTCCCTCTGGGCCCAGCCGCTTCCAGCTGCTGGCTTTGTATCCTTGTTGGGGGTCCTGCAGCCACACCCACACCAGGCCTGGGGACTGGCCGATTTGCTCCTATTCTAACAGCGGGGTCTGGAAGAGCCCCCTGAGAGCCCTCATGCTGTGTCTGCCACCTCCTTGCACCTGTCAAAGGGCCTGCCCTGGAGTGAAGGGGCGTCGCTCTGGGTGGCACAACTCCTGCTATTTGTCGTTCTGTTGGACCAGGTCCCCACAGCGGTGGTGCCCCTGTGAGGGTCAGACACCCCGAGGGTCCTTTTGGCTCCTTGCAGGTACTAGGCTGGGCAGGACCCCAACCTACCTGTTTCAGTGTTTCCCAGGACCAGCCCCTCAGCATGATGCTCATGGTTTTGGGTTTTTTTGCAGAAGTTCCGCGTAGGGCACAGCACTGGCACTTTGGGGCACAGGTGACCAGTTATGACAGCAGAGAGTCCTCTAGCGCATATGATGCTTTGGGATGTGGGGCCATGCCTGGGACGGGTCATGGCTCCCTTATCCTGGGAAAGCCTGGGTCAGGAAGAGCAAATGTGGAAACGTGGGCTTAGTAGCTGCAGGTCTCTGGGTAAGAGCTTGTGGGGCTCTGGAGGTCTTGGTGGGTTCGTTGGGTCTCCTTTATGAGCCCTACCAGCTCTCATTTAAGTCCAGAAGTTTCCGAGAGGAGGTGGAGGCTGTCCACGAGCACTGGGAGTGACTTGGGTCTGCATGAGGTAGTAAGGAGTGGGGGGTCTGTGGTGAGCAGGGAGGGGCGGCTCTATGGTGGGGGTGGGGCGCAGCTCTGAGCTGTTGCTGCAGGCACAGGGGCCCCCATGACATCTCTGTGCCCTGAGATGTGAAGGTCGCAACACAGGGAGAAGTCCTAGGCTGCGCAGCTCAGCGGGGCACTCTTGCTATGTCCCAGGTCCAGTCCCGGGGGTGTCCAGGGGCTCACTCCTGGCTCACCCCTCCCACTGCCCAGGGGCGCTGCTCCCCATGCCTCGGTGGGCACCGAGGCAGGACCCCAGACCTGCCCCACGGGGGGCCTTCCTCCCCGAGGGGCCAGTCCCAGTGAGGAGGCTCATTGCCATTTGGGCCTCACCTGGACCGCCAGTCCTGCACCCTCAGAGGTGTGGGCCATGTGTTGGCGACTGTCATGCCCGGCCCTGGGCTCTTGTCTTGAGGCTGGTGAAGGGCGCTGAGAAACCAAGATGGCCACGCCAGGGACAATGTGGCTGGGGCTCCGCTCCTGTGGCGCAGGGCCATTCTCCGCAGGCTGAATGGGCGGCTGGGCTTGCAAGAATGCGGGAGGCAGAAGGCAGGCTAGTGTTTCGGTGTCTTCTGTTACACCCGAGCCTTTCAAAGAGTGTCTAGGGCCGGCTGAATGCGCCTCCCTCGCGCTCCAAGGCAGGAATCCCAACACAAAGGGGGCTCTTGTCCCGCACAGGCCCCTTCTGCGAAGAAAAGCCATTGTCCCCAAGCGGGGCCGCCCGGCAGGCGGTGCATGCTCCAGTGCCCACCGCCGCGCCCGGCGAAAGGGGCCGCATTCAGGCCTGTCCGCTCGGATTAGCAGGGACTCACGACTTAATGTGCACCGATATTTCATGTCGAGGGCGGCGGCTGGCTCCAGGCGGGATGAATGCCCGCTTTTGTCTACTGAGTTATTTTATTTACATTTTTTAAACAGCTTATCAAGGTAAAAAGATAGCTTTGCTTCAGGGGGAAGAAAAAAAAGCCCCTTGGCTCCAGGCCCGAGCTGAGCTGTGGAGGTGGGAGGCAGGCCCGTCCTGGGTCTGAGGCTGCCGAGTCTGGGCTTGGCTGCCTGGGCACCTGCCCGGCCTCCAGCCCCATGGAGTGGACAGCCGGGAGGAGGTGGGGGGTGGCCCATGAACGCTCCTCCCACGGCGGCCACCCCGGCCCCTCTGGGTTTTCTGAGTTGTTTTCCCCAAAGGCAGCAGTCCCAGAGTCTGTCTGGCCAGAGGTTTCCACAGCCTCCCCCTGACTCAGCTGGCATCTCTCTTCTTAGAGGCCTCCATGCAAAGGCCAGGAAGGCCTGGGAGGCGCCAGGGGCCCGGTCCTCCGAAGTTTCCTTCCGTGGGGTCTCAGCCCCTCCCACCTTCCCTGTCACAGGTGCCTGTGTCAGCAGGTGATGTGCCTGCACTCTCTCATGTGAGCAGGCCATGGGCGGCTTGGTGTGCTGTCCTCTCAGCAGAAGCTCAGACAGAAAAATGACCAGAGACAGATGCTAAGCCCACCTCATGGCAATGAAACAACTACATACAGCACCCGCCCCGACCAAGCCCCAAGACAGAAGCCAGGCCCCGGGGGCTTCCTGCTGTCAATCATCCCCGCCAGGTCACCGAGACCACACCCCCTGGCTGCCCCTTTCCTTGTCCTGTGCCACCCCACCCAGCCTCCAGGTACAGAGGTGCAGGTGCAGAATGAGGGTACCTCCCAAACTGTCCCTGGGGGGTGTCTGCGGCCATCCAGCCCTGGCACGCTGGCCATACCCTGCAGCTTCCACAGAGGCCACGTGGCTGAGAGAGGGCACCCTGGGTGCTAGGAGAGCTTGGGAGGAACCAGGGAGCAGAGAGGGGCCATGCTGAGCATTCTGAGCCCTGTGTGGCAGTGTCATTGTGCGGCCAGGTGGGCTGTGCACCCGGCCACACATGTTAGGCCTGAGCTGCCTGCCTAGGATGGGTGGGCTGGGCTCTGAGCACCAACCCCCCCCACCCCCGACCTCAGCCGGTGGGCATCACTGACCAGGACCCTGGTGGCAAGGCGGCAGGTGAGAGGGTTGGGGTTGGCGCCGCAGGCTCCTCGAGGGGAGGGAGGCCCTGCCGGCAGAGCGGGGGCACCCTCAGGGCTCTAGGCTGCCCTGTAAGGCGAAGCTCCTGCTTCTGTGAAGGGCAGCGCCCAGCCTCCCGTGGCAGCCTGACCTGACACCCAGACCACCGTTCCAGGCTACCCCCTTCCCAAGCCTGAGGCTTCACCCCAGGAGTCAGAGGGGTTGTTGGAGAGTGGGGGGCTCAGGATCCCCCCCAGACCCCAATGAGGGCTGGAGCCTAGAGACAGACGAAGTCTTGTCCCTAGAGGAGCAGGAGCCACAGATGATGGGGGCCGATACCCCAACAGAGGTAGTGAGGGGAGAAGGAGGGCATCTCTGCCGCCCCCTGCCCCTCGCCTCGTGCCCCCCCCCCACCTCTCCCAGGGTCACTGGCTCATGGCCCGGTCTGGAGGATGGGAGGGTCTCAGACCCCCAGGTATCCCTCCCCACAGCCCCTTCTCGGCCGTGGCGTGGCCCGACCAAGCGCAGGTCCAGGTGTCGACGGCGGAAGAAGCACCGCAGGTGGCAGGGTTCCGACCACCCCAGTTTGTGAGCTCGGTGCGCGGGGCCACCGGGGTATGCACGCTAGCCTTCCCGGGTGGGGGTCTGGCGCTCCCTCAGTTCTCAGGGGGCCTCCCATCCAGAAAAGACAAGGTCCCCGTGGGCGGGAGGCACCTGCACCCCTCCCACCGCCCTGAGCCCCTCCCCAGGCCCTGCCCCCCCTCGAGTCCCTCCTCCAGCTCT